TTGGAAACAAATGTAACTATCAGAGTCCCTCCTCTGCAGGTGGTTTCCAGACAGAGGATAAGGCAGGTGCTCACCATAGGGCTGCCATTTTATAGGACCTGCTCTGTGTCCTGATTGATACTATGCATACAGACATATGATGCTACAAAGCCAAATATCTAGCACCCCAATGACTTGGGGCTGCAAAAAAAATGTAGTTCTCTATTTCCCACAGCTGATCAAGTTTTTACCCACTGGGGGTGGTGAAGAGAGAACAAAGTCCCAAAATTGCCTGCTAATAGTGGCTCCCTGTTCAAACACCATCTTCTGAGTGGTTCAGGCTCTTTAGTGTGAATGCTCAACCCCCTGGTGTTCTCCAGGAGCAGCCTGGTGACAGACAGGCGTGGTGGGCCCAGGACTCCCACAGCCGTGTGCCTCGTCTGCCTGTCTGTGATGCTGCCAGAGCCTGGCCTGCCCAGCCCACATCTTTCCTGGAGCCTCAGGATCTGGCAGTACCTTCTCCCTTGCTGTTTCCCTCAGCTCCAGCTTTCTGAGCCTCTGTCATCTCCTCCACCAGCATGGTGTGGAGGCCACATCACTCTCACAGGAGCTGGCTCATAGCAGGTCTCCAAGGCCTTCACTCGACACGCAGGCTCAGGACATGGGTGTCAGGGAAATCTGGCTCCCTTCTACTCCATGCTCAGAGACACTAATTCAGGTATCCTTCTTCTGCTTAGCCAAACTGCTAGGACCACATGTTAGCTCAGGGCCAGCCTACACAGAGATTATCTCCCAAGACACATGGGCAGGGCCAAGGCCCTCAGCTTGCAGTTCTGCCATCATTCCACAGCCCCTATTTGGGACCACCATTAGGAGAGGAGAAGCCAGGATGCCCAGCTGACCACCAGCTTCCTCTACTTTCATCCCTCTCCTCCCAGAGGCTTGCTCACACCTTCTCCCATCTGGCATTGTAAACCCTTTATGCTGGGGTTTCTCAACCTCAGCACCACTAACATTGTAAGCCAGATGATTATTTGTTTGGGGTTGGGGGCGGTCCTGTGCATTGTAGGATGTTTAGCAGCATCCCTGGCCTCCAGCCTCCAGATGCCAGCAGCGCCTCCTACTTGCGACACTAAAAATATCTTCTGATACTGTCACACATGCCCAGTTGGGTAAAATTTCTCAGACCCCACCCTGGTTGGAACCACTGGCCTCCACCATTTCTTTCCTCTTTCTTAGGTGACACCTATTCTCCCTACTCACCAGAGGCAACAATAGCAGAATGTATTTCTGGGAATAACATTTTTCAGGAAGGTGCTCCCATTGGTTTACTATTTTCTGAATATTATTTCTAGCATTTTTTCCACTTCCAAATGGCATTAAGAGAGAGTTATGATTTAGCCCAGTTTCACAAAGGAGGAAATTGAGCAGGACAGTTCAAATAACTTGGCCAAAGGGAGACAGCTAGATTAAAACAAGATGGTCTGCTGTCGTGGGCTTGTACATCCCATAGGAGCTCAAACTAAACCTACTTTGCGCTGCAAGGGACTGGTGATTTTCACTGAAGTATCATTTCAGGCATGATACTTATTGTTGGGAAAACAATATAATTCTTTCATCTGTTTTCAATTTTATAGACTCTCTTCAGGCTCACAATTGTGTCTACACATTGTTCTTCATTTTTGCATCAGCCTGGGGTCAAAATCAAATACAATTTTGACCTATAAAATAAAAAGAGCATACTAATGCATTAAAATCTCTTGACTAAGAACATGGAAATACCATCAGTTCCTTTGCAAATTCTGCATCTGACACCCTCAGAGTATGAGTTAAATTAACTCCTATTATAATAATCAATTGGGAAGCTATAGCGGCTATAGCACCCTGAGTTCCTATGTAAGCAAACCAAAACCCAATTCAATGCCAACAGTAAAACAAAAGTTAAGATTAGCCAATCAGAAACCTCCAACTAAACTCCAACTAGGGACTTTTGACTTTAACAAATATATTTTCTTCATCTTGCTGCAGCAAACACTTTATAAAAGCTTCTCTTACCCCTCATCCCACACCCCAACGTAGTCAGTGGAGCACTGAATAGTCTGGTGTTGCCTAATTCATGAATAACCAAATGCTCAAATAAACCTGTTGAAATTTTAATGTCCCTAAGTTTATCTTTTAATACTCTCTAGAAGTTTTGGCCATCATTTTTTTTTTCCAGTTCATGAAAGTGCTTGACCTCCATTGTCTTTGAGACTGATAGATGGAGATGCACACAGTTCCATGGAAGGGTGTGGGTAGGTTTGAGGGGTACAAGCCCCCAGGGAGGGGGATGTCAGATCCCAGAAGGGGGAAGGCCTTACTAAAGGCCCCTGAGTGATTCTGATGCATCCCCATGACGAGCCGTCTCCCAGATGACTGAAAATCACAGGTCTGCTCATGTCTTTCATTTCATAGATAAAGAAAAAGAGTATTTCAAAGAGAAAGCAATAACCCCAAGGTCACAGAAAGTTAGGAAAAAGGGGACCAAAATCCAGCCTTCCAACACACACGCGTTTCATACCATGGCATCATGCTTCTGGGTGCCACCTGGGCTATTACAAGTTAAACCAAATGTACCCACTTCTATGGATTTTTTTCCTGCAAATTGGCAACTTCAGGCAGCATCACCTAACAAGAAGTAATGAAGAAAAAAAGACCATGTCTTAAATAATTTATAGCCTGGGCCATTCCAACACTGTAGATAATATTGCTTCACATAGCCCCATGGCAAAGCTACAAGCGTCTCCCAGCTCTGCAGGCCTTTAGACCATGAGTCTAACGACTAGAAACAATTTTCATAAAACCAAATAGCCATAGCTGACTGCTAGGATAATTCATCCCAGGTAGAATGCCATAAAGTCAGCTTTATAAGTGCAAAACCAGGACACCTGCATGCAAAGTTGTTAGCAATTTTAAATAAGTAAAAAAGACATCAGCTCTTAACACTGCCTGTAAGATCTAAAAAGGAGCTAGCAAGAACCAGCGAAATCTTGGTGATTTTTCAAAAATTCTCATCATTCTCAGAGCACACATGTGAGGACTGGCACCTCCCCACACCTCTGTCCAGGCCCACGGTCCCCCATCTCCACCTCACAGGGGCTTATACCACCTGTCCTTCCAAAAGTGCTTTGCCTAATCTTTCTTTCCAGGGAGATCAGCTGCCTCCCAGGCCTGTGCCTCTGCTACATTGAACAAGTCTTACAGCATAGTATATCTAAATTATTTCTTCAGCTATTTGCCTTCTCTTCCCTACAACAGGGTGAGCTCTTTAAAAGCAGAGATTATCATACTAATTGTTATACCACAGAATACCACATAACATGCAATGCTATAGTCATATATTAACAATATTAACATAATAATGTAACATAACATCTTTTTTAAAGTCATGGCCCTAGTCATATATTAATATTAATATAATAATGTAACATAGCATCTTTTTTAAAGTCATGGCCCATTTTTAAATTTTGAATTCAAAATAGAGTTGTGATATGAAGCCATTTTCTAATAAATTATTTAAATATCCAAAACCCCAAAAAGCTCACTACACTAAGGAAATTCGAGTAATGGGTGCAGAGACTCCAGTCCAGGGATGGCAGCTGTGAGGCCAGAGTTCCTGTCCAACAGAACAGCTCACACCAAGGATATATGGAGATCAATGTCATTCCATGTGTAAGTGCAGACTTGGCAAATAACTTTCCAAAAGGACACTTTCAAGATTTTTTTTTTTTAGAAAGTAGACAAGACCACGCCTCTACAATTAAAAAAAAAATGAAAACTTAGCCAGGTGTGGGAGCACACACCTGTAATCCTAGCATTTTGGGAGCCTGAGGCAGGAGAACTGCTTGAGCACAGGAATGCAAGGATGCAGTGAGCTGTGATTGCACCACTGCACTCCAGCCTGCGTGACAGAGCCAGACTCTGTCTCTCCAAAAAACATAAACATTAATTAAAAATAAATAAATGTTTTAAAGTGTAAATACCTTTCAGAGTAGGCAGAGGTAAGGGCAGCCCATCAGGTGGGTGGCAAGGTGGGAAAGGGAACTTTAGGAAATACTGCTATGACCTCACACAGCAACCATGATCAGGAGCATGAAACACGTGAAAACAAGTTTGGTCAAAAATGACTTAACTGCTCATATAATCCCACATCATGTGATCGCACTTTCCAAATTATTAATACTATTTGAGGCTTGGAAGTTTATCATGAATAGTATGTGTATCTTCTCTTCCATGTTTCACAATAAGACCAATTATTCCTATGACCTTGGTAAAATGGCCCCTGTTCAGGTGTCTGTAGGCTTACAGGCCCCCACACAGGCAAGAAAAGACTCCAGGAACATACAACACAGTTATTTTAAAAGAAATTGCAAATATGAATAATAACAAATCCTGCAGTAAATAGATTCAAGAGGTTACACAACATAAGAAAAGGAAAAGAAGCAGAGCCACATAGTGCCTAAATTCTTCCCGGGTAGATGCTGCTTTGGTGTCTTCATCTCACCTTATTCTCCACAGGGTGAAGCAAAGCCTCACAGTGAACTCAGAAACATCACAAACCAAAACACTAATTAATTCTTACTACATCAGTTTGCATGTACTGTGTCTGATTCTTTCTTAATTGCTGGATGCACCAAGCAAAGCGGATTAGCATTTGTTCTCCAAGTTTTCTGGAATTACTCCAAACAGCCCTCCTCTCTGCCTCATTGTCCTTTACTTTTAATATTAGAGTTCTCTAAGTTCGCTGCATTAATTATTCTAAATAACAACCCAGCCCCAAAGCGGCCTCTAAGGGAAGGAGTCAGCAAATGCAGATTTAACAACAATGACAAGTAAAACACTCAGGCTAAAATGAATTAGATTCAACACAAGAGCCTTTTACATAATCCAAGGCACATAACAATTACGTTAGACATGTTTAAAGATTCCTTTCTGATTTAGTGCATGTATGGTCTACATGATTCTCATTCATTTTAACTCACCTTTTGAATGACCTTGTTAATCTCTGGAGTGTTTGGTGTGTATAGTATTTTTCCATGCAATATAGGTTTTAGGAAAGACCACACCAAAGCACCATTTGGCATTTGTAGAATTTCCTGATAAAGCTTCAAACAAAATGGTGCTGTTGCAATTAGAAAGGAAAAAAAAAAAGTATTACTAATGATACAGGATGCCTAAGTTAACAGGGAGATTCATTCACAAATCATGATGTAAATGAATCACATCATTCACATCATTTTCAATGATAGACATATTTTTTCTGACATGACTCTGTACATTGGAATGCCATAGTTTGAATGTCTGTCCTCCCAAACCTCAAGTTGAAATTTGATCCCCAGTGTTGGAGGTGGAGCCTGACAAGAAGTCTTTAGGTCATGAAGGCAGATCCCTCATGAATGTTTTGGTGCCATTGTCACAGTAATGAGTGTAGTTCTCATTCTATTAGTTCCCAAGAGAGCTGGTTGAGAAAGGAAAGAATGAGAGAACAAAAGAGAGAGAGAGAGACAGAGAAAGAAAGAAAGAAAGAAAGAAAGAAAGAAAGAAAGAAAGAAAGAAAGAAAGAAAGAAAGAAAGAAAGAAAGAAAGGCAGGGAACGAGGGAGGAAGAGAAAAAAAGGAAAGAAAAAAGGGAAGGAAGGAAGGAAGGAAGGAAGGGAGGGAGGGAGGGAGGGAGGGAGGGAGGGAGGAAGGAAGGAAGGAAGGAAGGAAGGAAGGAAGGAAGGAAGGAAGGAAGGAAGGAAGGAAGGAGCAAGCCAGCCTGGTACCTCCCTCCTCCCTCCCCTTGCTTCCTCTCTCTCTCATTCTGTGATCTCTGCATATGACAGAGCTCCCCTTCAATTTCTGCCATGAGTGGAAGCAGCCTGAGGCTTTACTAGAAGCATATGCTGGTGCCATGCTTGTTGTATAGTCTGCAGAACTGTGAGCCAAACAAATCTCTTTCCTTTACAAATTACCCAGTGTCCAGTATTCCTGCATAGCAACAACGAATAAACTAAGACAGGAAGTAAAACAAGACTTTTTTCCCTGTTATAGTTTTCGGCAGCTCTCATCTCATAAGAATCTTCATTATGCTGTGTTCACTTAAATGACTTCAAAGGAAGGAAAGTATGACTCACATTTTCAAACTAAGTAATCAATAAGAGTATTAAATAATGACATGGACACTTGAAAATGAAAATGACAAGTAGAAAAATAAATCTGGTTTTTCATCAAGAAAATTCTCATTTCAACAGTCACAATATTGACACCAGAACCGAGCTTCTCTTATGAAGTCAACTTTCCAAGTTATTACTGAATTGTATTTGACGAACCCATGCAGAACAGTCAAACTTACTACTTCTGACATATTAAACTGCCTTCTTTCACTCAAATACTTAATCCCTCTTGGTGGCTCTCATTGTTCTTGTGATGCTACTTGATTTCAATTAAAGATTTACTCAACTTAATTGTTTAAATCAATAGTTATCTGATGAGGGTAGCAATTTCATCACCTTAATAAGTAGGTACTAAATCTTATAAAGTTTTTCTTTTTCTTTTTTTTTTTTTTTTGAATTGTACTTTAAGTGCTGGGATACATGTGCAGATCTTGCAGGATTGTTGCATAGGTACACACATGCCATGGTGGTTTGCTGTCTCCATCTGCCCATCACCTACATCAGGCATTTTTCTCAGTGTTATCCCTCCCCAACCTCCCCACCCCCCACTGTTCCTCCCCTAGCCCGCCACCCCCCAACGGACCCCAGTGTGTGATGTTCCCCTCTCAATGCCCAGTTATTCTCATTGTTGAACTCCTGCCTAGGAGTGAGAACACGTGGTGTTATGTTTCCTGTTCTTGTGTCAGTTTGCTGAGAATGATGGTTTCCAGATTCAGCCATGTCCCTACAAAGGACATGACTCATCATTTTTTATGGCTGCATAGTATTCCATGGTGTATATGTGCCACATTTTCTTTGCCCAGTCTATCATTGATGGGCATTTGGGTTGGTTCCAGGTCTTTGCTATTATAAATAGTGCCTCAATAAACATACGTGTGCATGGGTCTTTATAATAGAACAATTCATAATCCTTTGGGTATATACCTAGTAATCAGATTGCTGGGTCAAATGGAATTTCTATTTCTAGAAGGTTTTAAGCTAGTGAGAAGTACTTCAGTATAATTATGTCTTTATCCATAAAGAGAATATTTAAAATGAAAATATTATCTTAGCTTCATAAGGATAAAATGAACATATTATCTTAGATTTGGTACTATGATTCAAAATACTCAAGGTATGGTTATTGTGATTACTTTAAATGTTAATTTCATTTTCCCAAACTCCCCATTTGAAAGAAAAAAAAATTATTTGAAAAGTACAACAGAATCAATAGAAATACTTCCCCCTAAAGTATAAATTAAGAGTATGACTACACAATAAATTTTAAAGCTATTAATTATGGAGGTTGTTCTTACTGAAATGTAATAACTTATTCTTTACATTACAAGCTTAATATGAACAGGAGCAAATTTATTGCAGAAAAAGGTGTAGTCATGATATGTACAAAAGTGAAAATTTTAAATCAGAAATCCTGACGTACAGAAAATATGAGGTAATAAATGTGTGTTGTCTTAAGTCACTAAGTGTGCAATGATTTATCATGCAGCATAGAAAATGAATACACTAGGATACATTTATACCCTTGTGCTAAGGTACCATATTGCATCTCATAACAAGCTTATGAGCCAGGTGCTAGTGTTTCCACATTATAAATGAAACTAACATGATGCAGACACATGAAACAACATGACCAAAAATGTACAACTAGTGGAGCTCAACTGTCTAAACTCCAGAAATCTCACCAGCATGTTTATTCTGCCTTTCTAATAAAAATGTTTTCACTTAAAATAGGGCCAAAAAATTACATATTAATTTGCATTCATTTGTACCTATCATGGCATATTAATCTGTACCTGAGCTTCATAGAGAGCAGGTTTGGAGGTGGTCACAGACAAGTTCTTGTTTGTTATATAATAAAGCCATTAGCATGGACCAAAGATGTCCTCGTGGTCTGTATGCCTGGACCCTCACCAATACTGGTTAGCCTGAGAAACCAATGGGGCTGGGGTTTAGCTGTTTTCGATAATTCCTTGGTGACACAGTTCCTTAGTGACCCAGGTGGGAGGATTCATCTGTGCTCAAGGGCACTAGGATCATTCAAAGTCAGCTGCCATGCCAGAATTTGGGGAGGTGGAAGCAGAATATTCTATACCAGTATATAGCAACCTTATACACAGACAGAATACTTAGTATAAAGTAGGGCCAATGATTGAGATACAAAGGAATCTAAACACACAAATATATATATTACTACTGTCTTACTTGAATCTTCAGGAATGTTGAATTTTTCTTTGTCATCTTCCAAGAGTTCATTGACTCTGGGCAAATTAATGAACATGTTAGAATTGCTAAGGAATGATGCTGGGTCCTTGCAAACCATCTTCATCACAGACTGGAAAGAACCAAAGGCTGAACTTCTGGCCTGGACATTTTGTGAAACCTGAGAAAATAAGAAAACTAGATTGCAGTTACATAGTGACTTAAAACAATTAAATTCCTTCACCCACATTTGAAAGTCTTCTTCCTTCCTCCACTGAATGTGCAGGATATTCAACAAGTCAAAAAATGGAATGTCTGCTTTAGAGTTTTCTGTCCTTGGTATACTATTTGAAACATTACGGTAATTTTTCTGGCCAACATACCTGGTAGAAGAGGGAAATGTCATACACACGCACGCGCGCACGCACACACACACACACACACACACACACACACACACACACACAAAACTCCTTACTATTAGTCCAGTAATAAATTATTAATCCATAAAATATCACTAATTCAGACTAATTACTAGTCTTAATGTGTGTCTATGCTACCAAGATATCCAGATATTTTATAGTTATACAAATTATCTATCACGTGATAGGCTTACATTCTGTCTCCAAGGCAGTTCTGAGAACATTGTTATCTGACTCCTCATCCTGCACCTCCAACCCTAAAAATTCCACACTCCTCCTCATTTGTGCCCAGTCAGTTTCATCCCAGGAAAAGAGAGTTCTAACAAAAACTAGTATCAAGCCACTAAACTAATTCAACTTTGTGTTTGCATTTGTAGTAAATGATCTGTAATTTGTAAGTCAATTATTTATGTGTAAATAAATGTTTTAAGGTTTTTCAAAGCAATCTGCTTTCTGAATTAAGTTAAACAGACCCTTGAAATCTCATCTGTGCAATAATTGAGTTAGTAATTTCTTACTTTATGGATAATGCATGTACTATCCTAATCTCCACACTGGTGAAATGTGGATCAAAAAGTCAGTTTCATGCAGTTTACAGGGAGATGCCAGGCCTTACTCTCTGTTATGTTGTTGCTTCCAGAGATATGAAAAGGTACTTCCATTCCTGTATTTGGTTGTCTAATGCAAATTTTAGAGGTGAGAAGATAAAAGCAAAAGGGGCAAATATAAAGAAGGGGCAAATTCGAATACTTCCCTGGGGACAAAGATGAAACACACACCTGTTGAAGGTCCAGCATTTCTAGCAAGGCAGTGATTTTAAAGGTATGAAGAAAGTCAGGAAGATACTCAAAGATGTGCTGGGCTTTGGCAAGCAAGGAGTTAAGGCTGGAAACTACATCCAACAAGGAGTTGAGCAATCCATTTGCTTCAGAAGGCATCAGAGTCTTAAAGGACAAACAAAATTAAGCAAAACAACATGAAATAAGCAACACTGTATTTTTACCCTCACAAGCATCTTTTGAGCTGTGAAACTTATCTATTTGATTTTATTCTCTCTTGAACTTCAGAGACGCCTTTGCTGTACTATATGAAAGTTCTAGTCATTAGAGTATACAGAGCTCAGGTGTTTTGGGGGCACACTAAATTGCTAACATGTAAACCAGATACAAATGTGATCCATCATTAAAATTCAAATCATTTGCCAAATATTTCTTTGTATCTTTGAGGTGATCAATGTGGAAATTTAAGAAGCGGCTCAAAATATGAGCAGTACTTATATGTGAAGCAATTTACATTTATCTACTGCTTTACGGTATTCGTAACATTCACATGTCATCTCAGTTCTCCTAATACTTTGGGGATGTGCATTATAATGTTCATTTTGTGGATGAGAAAATTTGGGCTGAAGAGATTAAAAGGCTTCCTGAAGTCTCAGCGTTAGAAAGGTTCAGAAATGTGAATTTAACCTGGATTCTTTAAAAATACCAGTGCCCTTTGAAACTTACTTATGCTATCACCACCTGACAGGCTCTGGGTTACACATGCTTTTTTTTTTTTTTTTTTTTTGCATATTCGCAGTTCTAGACTGGAGGCAGGGTTTTTGTTTTTGTTTTTTTTTTTTTCCTGTCTTGATCTTTTATGTAGCTACTGGGAATGCAACAGCAACAGCAATTATTAGCTGCTCCATAACTATTTGTTGGATGAATGGATAAAGGAGGAAATGCCAGCTCTTTGCACAGGGCAGGGAAAATCACAGCAAATCTCCACCGTCTGTCATTTGCGCACACTGAATTTTTCCATTTTCCAGGCTCAGGCGGAGGAACCCAATTGTCGCTGCTTCTTAATTTTACTCATTAGTGATCTAGCTGCTAGCTCTGCAGATGACTTCCAGGGCTCCGAGATCACAGCTCCATCCTTCGCAGAGGCACTCTACTCATAAAGATGGAGCTCTCCGTTCATACTATAGAGACAGCTCGAGCAGGAGAAATGGTGTGTAGCTTTTGTCACTTTCTCTACTCACCTTTCTAATTACAGCTGCCCTTTAATAAAAATGGCACACAGTGGCCGACCCCTGACTTACGATAGGGAGTGACAGGGATCCAGTGCAATGCCAACAGACCAGATTAATGTGCTGAATTAATATAGCAAATTGTGATTTGCTGAAGATTTCAGAAATTCATTGTCAGCTGAGTGAATCAGAAAGTACATGGACTTGGAAGTGAGATGCTGCTGCATGTGACCCTCACGTGGAGGTGGGACTGCCCTAACATCCTGAGCAATATCCTGTATTTAATTAACCTTCAGACATCCCTGCATATAGAAGGCACCTGAAAAATAAGAGTGATTGTTATTTATGATTATGTCATTTTCTTTGTGTCTGGGAGACTAAATCCAACCCACTATCTTATCCTCCAAAGGAATCTTGGTATAGATGATAGCTCTTGTTGCAATAATTATGTGGGCCTCTAAAAGCACTCATTTCAAATGTGGGGGGGGGGCCTTTGTGCACATAACAAACTGGTCACTAGAGTATCAGCCAATGGGAGCTCTCTTCCCCACAAGGCAAATTGTACAGTTGGAAGAGAGGATGTGGTGAGCAAATGCAGAGCTAACGCATGTTATCGAGAAATATGAATTCCATCAAGATAGAGGTGGGCTTGCAAATTATGGGGACACAAGAAATATTTATCCTCCTCCGTATGGGTTTAAAATGTAATCATTCTGGATGAATATTTGTTCTTGGAGAGAGAGAGAGAGAGACTGTGTGTGTGTGTGTGTGTGTGTGTGTGTGTGTGTGTGTGTTCCTTCCAACATTTACCCCCTGGACTCTTGGAATAACAGAAAGTAAGGAAACCATAGGTAGCTGAAATGGCAAACCTACCCTTTCCCGACTCTAAATCTGTTCTCCCAGACTCCACAGCCACCTTGCCATACTGCAAACCCTGCAGTCCCTCTAATGAACCCAGAGCTTGTGAAATACTTCCCTCAAGGGAAAACAATGGTACTTGGAGCAAGATCAATGCCTAATGGCCGAAGGGGAGGCTTCTGGAAACTTAAGTAAAGATTCAAATCGTGAAGGTCGGAAGGAAGAGGAGCTTCTGGAAAGAGCAGCTTGAGAGGAGGGAGCTATGGTTGGGAGCTGGGTGGCCCCTACACCAGTTCTGGGGCCTTCTGGAAAGTCCTGGGTCTGGGCTTGTCCCAGCTCCTCCTCACTTCTCACCCTCTATTCTCTTCTGCAGACAGCACCATCTTTACCCTCCTCCAGCCCCTCCCTGCCCTCACATTGCTGACTGTCAGAGGATCATGGGGCAAGGACAGAGCTGGTACCCACAAGGGATTTGGCTTCCTGGGCTGCCCACCTCTCCACATTCTCCCCAAGGTAGGCCCTAGCAGAGCTGGATGCTTCCTGCTGACTGACAGGGCCACAGTGCAGGGAGCAGCACCTGACTTGGGCCGCTCAGGAGTAGATCATGCACAGTCCCTCTCCAAACATGCTCCAGGGAGATGCCCCTCACAGAGGAGAGAACATCTGGCATTAAGAAGAGGTGGTGTGTTTTTGCAGGTGGGTCCTTCCACAATGAGCATGGAGACTACCACCAGCTCTGTGCCAATGCCCTGACACCTGTCTCCAAGGAATCCCTGAAGAGTCTCCTGAACATCCTTTTATTACATCAAAATCCTCTTGAGCCCCATCCTGGAATCGGCAAACATGTGACACCAGAGGCTGGTGGAGGCCACTGCAGAGTGGCCAGGTGCTGGTCTCCCATTGCTGCGCCACCAGGACCTACTTATCCACAGCCACCGCAGCAGAGTCCTACAGAGGCCCGCCCCAGCCGGCACGCTCCCTATACCTTGTAAATGAAAGCCCGAACATCCAGGTTTCTACTCATCAATACAATCAGAGGATATACTTTTGACCCCGGCAGGCCACAGAGTTCTTTCGTCGCGATCCAAGATTTCTCCCCCTCAGGAAATGTCAGCAGGAGACCAAGGATTTCCTGATCACACTTTCCAGACAGAGCTACCGTGAGGGCACTGAAGAGAACCTGTTTCAAAGCACGGAGATCAGAAGTGAGCATACCCACAACGTCATGTGCTTCACCACCTCAGACCAGAGCTTCAACAGCAGGGAGTCACCCAAGAGTGGATTTCCCGGCTCCGGGGACTGCCCTGCAAATGCAGGGAGCCCAATCTGTGATTTGATTCTCAACGTTTTGATGGAAATGTTTCTGAAATGTGCACATCGTTCTGTGTCTTCTTGTAAAACTTGCCTTTGCTTGAGGTCTTGGGATCACCCTTCTGAAACTCTGTCCCTCTGCTCTCTGAGGGGCTCACTCTGAATGCCCAGCTAGCCCCCACCCTCAGATGCCACCCTCGTAGTTAGCATCTCTGTCTTGCTTGTCTGATATTACATCTTACCCTTGGCTTTCAGTTTATCAGCTTCCACTTTTCACTGTCATCAGTGTGAAGCTGATATTTTTTGTCTCCTCCATTTCTAGATTGAAAACAGGATTACCAAGCTTGTTATGTATTTTTTTAAAGCAAGTAAACTCAGAAGGAGGGATTTAGAACAACTTGTATGAGTCTCTGGCTTATTACTATAAAATAAAACACAAACCATACTTCCTGCTCCATGTTTTTGCTCCTGATGGGTATTATTGTGAAACATTAAGGCCAAGTAAGGCTGAAGTGCATGAACCCATGTGAATAGGAGCCATATGCACTGGATAAGAGCACAGAGAACTCATCAGATGCTTTCATATGCCATAAAACATCCCCAAAATACATTAATAGATAATAGTAACATGGTAATGACCAGGCACAGTCGCTCACATCTGTAATCCCAGCTCTTTGGGAGGCCGAGGAAAGCAGATCAGAAGGTCAGGAGATCAAGACCAGCCTGACCAACATAGTGAAATGCCGTCTCTACTAAAAATACAAAAACTAGCTGGGCCTGGTGGCATACACCTATAATCCCAGCTACTCAGGAGGCTGAGGCAGAAGAATCACCTGAACCTGGGAGGTGGAGGTTGTAGTGAGTCAAGATCATGCCACTGCACTCCAGACTGAATGACAGAGCAAGAAACTGTCTCAAAAAGAAAAAAGAGAGAGAGAGAGATGATGGTGTATTAGGGCTTTCCAGAGAAACAGAACCAATAGAGTGTGTGTGTGTGTGTGTGTGTGTGTGTGCATGTGCAGTGATGTGTCTCACAATGACAATGATACATTTGTGAAATGTGCCATTGGGTAATTTTTTAATTTTGTGATCACAGAGTACACTTACACAATCCTAGATCATACTACACACGTAGGTTATGGGGAATGGCCTGCTGTCCAAGGCTACAAACCTGTACAGCGTGTCACTGCACTGAATCCTGTAGGCAACTGTCACACAGTGGTAAGTATTTGTGTGACTGAACATATCTAAACATAGAAAAGGTACAGTAAAAGTACAGTAGTATATAATCTTATGGGACCACCATCATATATGCAGTCCATTGTTGACCAAAATGTCCCTATCTGGTACATGATGACAAACTGCATATACAGTGGTGGTCCCATAAGATTATAGTGGAGATGAAAAAATTCCTATCTTCTAGTGACAAAAGTCATAGTCATGTTGTAGCCTGGCATATTATGTAGCCTGGCACAAGTGTTTGTGGCAGTGCTGGTGTAAACAAACCTGCTGCACCGCCATTCATAGTAAAAGTATCACACACACAATTTTCTACAGTACATAATATTGATAAGGATAGTAAATGACTATATTACTGGTTTATGTACTTACTATACTATATTTTTATCATTATTTTATAACATACTCTTTCTAATTATTAAGAAAAAGTTAACTGTAGAATAGCCTCAGGCAAGTCCCTCAGGAGGTATCCGGAAGGCATTGTGAGCACAGCAGACAGCTCCATGCATTTCACTGCCCCTGAATTCCTCCCAGTGAGACAAGCTGTGGAGGTGGAAGATGGTGATATTCATGATCCTGACCTTACGTAGGCCTAGGCTAGACTGTGTGTTTCTGTCTTAATTTTTAAGAAAACAGTTTGAAAAGTTAAAAGTAAAAAATTCTTAAAATAGAAAAGAGCTTATAAAGACCTAAAGGCAAACAATTGTACAGCTGTGCAGTGTATTTGTGTTTTAATATAAGTGTTATCACTGAAGAGTCCAAAAGTTTTTAAAATTTTTTAAGTTTAGGCTGGGCATGGTGGCTCACACCTGTAATCCCAGCATTTTGGGAGGCCAAGGCAGGCAGATTGCCTGAGGTCAGGAATTCAAGACCAGTCTGGCCAACATGGTGAAACCCCATCTCTACTAAAAATACCAAAAAAAAAAAAAAATTAGCCAGGCATGGGGGCATGCGCCTGTAATCCCAGCTACTCAGAAGGCCGAGGAAGAGTAATTGCTTGAATCAGGGAGCCGGAGGTTGCAGTGAGCCAAGATTGTGCCACTGTACTCCAGCCTGGGTGACAGAGCAAGACTCTGCCTAAAAAAAAAATAAAATAAAGTTTATAAAGTAAAAAAGTTACAGTAAGCTAAGATTAATCCAGGATTGAAGTAAGACATTTTTAAAAATAAATTTGGTGTAGCGCAAGCGTACAGTGCTTATTAAGTCTACAGTGCTATAAGGACATGTCCTAGGCCTTCACATTCACCTGCCACTCACTCACTGACTTACCCAGAGCAACTTCCATTCCTGTAGCTTTATTCCTGCCAAGTATCCTATACAGGCATACTACTTTTTTTTTTTTATCTTTTATACCATATTTTTACAGTACCTTTTCTATGTGTAGAAAAGGTATAGTTAAATATGTTCTTGTGTTTTCTATTTTTTTTTTTTTTTGAGACCGAGTTTCGCTCTTGTTACCCAGGCTGGAGTGCAATGCCATGATCTCGGCTCACCGCAACCTCCACCTCCTGGGTTCAGGCAATTCTCTTGCCTCAGCCTCCTGAGTAGCTGGGATTACAGGCACGCGCCACCATGCCCAGCTAATTTTTTGTATTTTTAGTAGAGACAGGGTTTCACCATGTTGACCAGGATGGTCTTGATCTCTTGACCTCGTGATCCACCCGCCTCGGCCTCCCAAAGTGCTGGGATTACAGGCGTGAGCTTCTATGTTTTAATATACAAATACCACAGTGTTACAATTGCCTACAGTATTCGGTAGAGTAACCTGCTGTACAGGTTTGTAGCCTAGGAGCAACAGGCCACACCATATAGCCTCGGTGTGTAATAGTCTATACCAGCGAGGTTTGTGTAAGTACTCTATGAAGTTTACATAATGATGAAATTGCCTAATGATGCATTTCCCAGAATGAATCCTAGTCGTTAAGTGAAATGAAGCATACATATACAGGGAGAGATTTATTTTAAGGAACTGGTTCATGCAAACGTGGGGGCTGGCAAGCCCAAAATCTGTGGGGCCAGCAGCCTGGGGACCCAGGAAGGAAGTGGCATTATAGCTCAAGTCTGAAGGCTGTCTGGAGACAGAAATTCCTCCTGCTTGGGGAACCTGGTTATTTTTTTTCTCGTAAGGCCTTCAACTGATTGGTTAAGGCCGACTCACATTATGGTGAGTCATCTTCTCTACTCAAAGTCTATTGCTTTAACTGTTAATGCCATCCAGAAAATACCTTCACAGGGACATTTAGAATAATGTTTGAACAAATATCTGAGTACTGCAGCCTAACCAAGTTGACACACAAAATTAATCATCTCCAATGGCTATGATGCTCTAGTATGCCAGTGTGCATTTTGAGTCATTAAGAAAGAATGTTAAGGGTTTTTAATCACTAATTTACCAAGAATACCTTTTTTTCACATAGGACTTACATTGTGCAGACATACCTTGGTGAAATTTTCCTTAATGCCACTCCTTTCAAACATGCTGTCTCTGGACAAAGGGGAAGCTCTCGGGAGGAGGCTGGGAGCAGAATATGGGCATCTACCCTTTGCTTTCATAAGAGCAGACTCTCTTGATCAGTCCCATAAAACAGACTTCTGCATGAAACCATCCCTGAAAAGGGGCATCATCCAAACCCACAACTCAGGGAGTCGCCCTGGCTTTTCATGAGCATCAACCTAAGCTGGCTCAGTGTTCTGCATTTACTATAGAACATTTGTCTTAATTATTTTCTAGGGTGTCATACTGTGGTCCCCATGCAAGATCATAATTAATACTTCTTTTTAGAGTTTAGTCCCGGGACAAAAATATTTGTCCCAAAATTTTTTACATCTCTTTTTACCAAATAGAGAGGATCCCACACCCTGTCATGTGGAAGCTCCGCAGACACAAAGTACAGAAGCAACAGCCCCAGCAGCACATTTGCTGCCTCTCCTTTCCTGTGGCTTCCAAATATTACTATGTATCTTTTAAAAATTGCATTGTGTTCATTATTCCTGTTTGAGACTAGATAGGAGGGGAGGAAGATTAAAAAGCAAAGACAACACTGAGTTGTGCTTGATTGGAAACATCTTGTGTGATTGCTATTCAAAGCAAAACAGGCACCTTTTAACGCAGGCTTTGCATAGGCTAATGCTGCAAATTATCAGAAACAGAATGCCAAGCTCCTGCTGATTTTCCTGTTTCCGTGTTTGGCTTGGAAAGCGCAAGGGGGCTGAGGATCCAGGGCCGACGCCTCTCCTAGTTGTAAGCCTGGCTCATACACGCTTGGCCACTTAGATAATTATCTGGGTATATATGTGGTTTAAAAATGAGAATGATCCTTAGGAGAGGCATTTGCATTTTTAGCAAGAGCTGTGTTTACTGGACATCTGCCGAAACCCTAATCGCATTCAGAGAAGAGCACCAGAGATGGCCTCCATGTTGCCCAGCTGCTCATTGTAGACTCAGAGGTGCAGCAAAGCATGGGAGGAAAGGCTGCCCTCAGCCCAGTTGTGACCAGAAAGGAAACACTGACAGTTACTCAGGGAACTGGAGATGTCGGGGAGAGAGATTCTGCCACAGGATTTGTAAGACAAGACAATGAAAGGAGGGCAAGTATTTAAAAATAGACCCTGTTCACTTCAGAGTGGAGC